AGGTAAAAGGATAAAGAAGCCAGTCTCTCATTAAACATAGAAAAAGAATAAATGAGCATGAAGCAACCGTTAAAGAAATAACTGATTATTGCTTGTTTGTATGAGATCGGTGAACATGTCTGATAATTGCTAAATAATCTATTATTGAAAATATTCTCTTAGGTCGACAGTGAACAAATCATTTATTATAATTATTATTTCAATCCATTATTATAAAAAATAAAATGTTTAATTAATTTCCTATGATGAAGAACGAAGTTAAACTTAATTTTGAACATCGAAATAACTAAGAAAATATTTTATTTTCAATCATCAATGTAGATCTGTAGAAATGATTTATTTTTAAAACGAATATTCAATTATAAAGATATTGATTGTTATTAGGAATAGTTTTCCTTAGTATCATAAAAGAGAAAAATTTTCTATTTTATTTCAAGAAGATATTTACAAAGGTTATTTAACAGAATCTCGAAAGAAAAAGTTCTGTTTGAATACAAAATATTCTTGTGTATGTTTTATAGATAAAGTTAGAATGAATAAGTGTCATACTTTGGTGTTAACTCGTTGATGAACATTCATATATGATATATTGTTGGAATAATCTGTGTTATTCATTGAATTATTTAATGTTAAATTAATTAAATGAATTGATCCATTCTATGATCAAATAAATAAGATTTTTTTTATCTAATTTATTGATTAAGAGAATATCAAAATCAAGTACGAGTTTTTCTAATTGCCATCATTTGAAATTCTTTTATTTTTTTATCGTTAGTTAATATATAAGCTAATTTATTATCTTAGCATATCAATAGATCATCTACAGTATAATCTGTTATTTGATACTATTTATTTAAACAACAAAAAGAAATCTTTATTAAAAATATTATATATAATATGAAATAAAAACCTGAGATATACGTTAACATCTATATGGATCTCATCGTATGATGAGTTCATCAAAATCAATACTTATTATAAATGAATCATCACGAGACGAACGAATTAGTCGAAACTATCATTTATTTATTTACAAAAGACAAAAAACAAATAAATCAAGTTAATTTATGAAATACTTATTAGACAACTAAAAGTAAACTAATCTTACTTTGCCATTAGTACGTATATCTGTAAATTGATTGTAATCATTATGATGACGAAATTGAGGAGTAAAATCATATGATATTGATAATAAATGTCCTTGATTACTATATTCAATCTTTTAATTTTTAAATTAATTTATATTTAAAAAGAAAAAAAGATTTATCTATATATACAGATTGCCAATTTGAAATTGTTTAAATAAAATCAAGCCACCAATAATATAAGTATACATTTGAATTATTGTCCAGAATGGGTGTGGGTGGATGTGTGAGTTTGGGCTCGAGTGTAGATGAAGACAAGATTAACCCACACCCACACCCTAGTAAGCACTTATCTGTGCGAAAATTTAAATTTCCTTCTAAAGAAGGCAACGAATCAGTTATTGACTATAATAAACTTTTCTTCGTTTTTCTTGTTGACTCTTTGGTAAAATCTCTTGCCCAGCTACTATTGTTTTCTTTGAACTAATTCTGGTTTTTAAAATTTGGATTTTCGAAGGGCCATGGTTTAGTTTTATTACTCATTTCATATCGATACGATCATATAATTGGCTTAAATAATCTTGATATGGCTCATTAGACAGTAATTTCATAAATATCCTTCACCCTTCTTTGATTACTTAGTTCTTGAATAAAACCAAAGATGATCCGTGGCCTAGTGTTCGATGACTCAGCCGTCAATTCTAAAACTGCGATGATTCAACACACTTATGCATTAAGAAATACACACGCTTTCTGTATATTAAATCTAATTTCAATATAATGCAATTTCAATTTTTTGATAAGAAAAAACAGATATATTGGGTTTATCTTTTTTTTGTATAATAGACTCATCATAGTTGAGGTTATGCAAAGCGTAACGTGTGTTAAAGAAAGAGCAAGTATCAGAAAGAATATGACACTGTTTGCGTGGCATTATTGTTCTTTTTTACATCGTTGAATTTTTTCCTAGAGTTTAAAATAAATCGTTGCAGACCATCTTCCCTTTAATTTTTATAATACATTTTTTAAACAGTTAGATTTTCATTACTCTCTAATCGAAAAAAAAATTTTACCAACAAAAGATGTGTTCACAGAGAGGAAGAACTGATCTATGATTTTGTAAGATTGAATACCAGGATTCATATCCAAAACTTTCAGTGAAATTATAACGCTATGAAACGAGAGTTGAATACGGAAAAAATCACATGGGATTTCAAATGAAATAGAAAAGAGAATTGTATTACATTATGAAATTTTGTTTAAAATTATGTATAAATTACAATGGAAAGCAAACTGGTTGGTAAAAGGCCAACTACAGCTGTACCGTAAGCAACAAGATGCGAAAACTTCTCAAGGATCAAAGTTCATTTTAAGACAATAAACCACAAGGAATAGCCTGCATAAACGATAGTCATTCCATATATCGCTACCATGTTAAGCCTTCTCAGTAACTCATACAGAACTAGCGACATCTATATTAATTTTAATTATATAACCCAAAACCCTTTTACACATATCTTAGTTAATGGTTTTTATGTTCGAATTAATTAGAATATAGCTTCCAATTAGGTGTGTAATTACCAAGTGTAGCTGAGAAACAAATTCATGTTCTTACACCAATCCGTTGCACCAGACCACGGATCAAGAGAAGAGAAGTGATAGACTGTTTAAATTTGGACTACACAAAATTCAGTCTAAAGATGATTTGTTCTTTGACTTGATTTGATACATGAATCATATTTGAAAAATAGTTTAATATTTGTTTATTTATATTGAATATAACTATTTAATCGTAAAGATCAACAGATAAAATATTTTTATTTTTTACAATGATGTTTTTTGTTAGCATCAGTGATGAAACATACTGACGCTAAAAGTAGTCCAACTGGTTAGGACATCTACCAGGATAGCCGAAGGTGTGGGTTCGAGTCCCACGAAGGTCACTTTTTCTTCGTTCTGTCACACAATAAGTTAAGCTACTTCAAATGATTGTTTGTTTAATTCTTTTCCGTATGAATTGATACATTAAAATTAATCTCGTCGTTTGGTCAGGAGCATGCAGTGACTAAGAACAAAGAACTGATAAATAAAAAAAAACATACAGCGAATTCTCTTCTCTTATTGTTGATCATAAAAGAAATCCCATCGTTTTTCGTATTTCAATCGCGTCAGAATCGTACTGGCAGGTATTATCATATTGAAAGAACAACATCTAAATATTGATAATTTAAAAAAAAAGGACATAATTCTTTATTTGATTCGACTTTCAACACTTATACAGGTTATATTTAATGGACAGTTTTATCTCAGAAAATCTTTATAGGCAACTTCAAATAAATAACTTTTCATTTGTATTTTATTTGAATATAGATTTCAATTTTTTTATTCAATAGTTGCAATACATTTAATTCTTTAACTTGTCGTTTAACAAATTCAGACATAAACAAAAATAACGTTCATGTAAAATAAAAACTGCAATTAAAAGAGATGATCAATCGTTGCTATTTGAAACTCCAATAGGTATCATTGAATGTAAAACTCAAGATGAGCTTGATTGTAAAAAACAATGTTTTTTTTTGTATTCTAGATTCGTTTATAACACATATGTTGGAAAGATAAACAAAGGAAAAAAATTCAAAAATATTATATTTGATTATTTTTTACAAATATTTTTCTTTTTATTAAAAATTTAGACTAAACAGATACAAAAAAAAATTATCAAGCATCACCATTGTTTTCAATATACATTTATCGTTAGAATCAATTATATTTACAATCAACGTAAATCCAATTTGACAACAACAATCCAGCTGTATTTGAGAATTGTGTTGAGCCATTGAATGGTACAACTCGATGTTTTCATAACAAATTTTGTTATGAATGTTGAAAGACAAATTATTTAACTAATTAATAGACTGTGTTTTTTTTATGTACACGTTTATTTATCTAAATAAACTGAATTCTATTAAACTGTTTTTTGTTGCATTATGATTATATTTGAATAATATTCTGATTCTGATACATTAAAATATTCATCAAGATTATTTTCATTATCAAAATGGAACGTTATTTTAAAAAAATATATATAAATTTTGAAGCTTGAACGAGCTAATAAAAACAGGCAATACTCTAAAATATCATTAAAAACAACATTTCTCATTTTGAAATTTATATCTTTTTCTATTTTTTTTTAAACAAAGAATTAAGCATCTGTGAAGATTCTGTGCTAATCTATATCAGTTGATCTCTTTCAGGTTCTTTTTCATTTTCTGTCTATCGATAAATAAAGATAACAAAATATATACGGTATATTAAAAGAATCTTGTCTGGTTATCAAGAAAAATAAGAATCTGGAAAGAATGGATTCAAGAAACTCGATTAGTGAGACAAGTACCAAAGGATAATGAATAGAGAACTCAATTTCCTTCAGACCGAAATCTTCGTTCCGCCACTAATATGTATACAAGTACATCTGGATGTAAATGTATATGAAGTCAACTCAAGGAGGAAAAAGCGTATTTCTAAGTATTTCCAGGTATTTCTAACTATTTCTAGGTATTTTTAAGCATTTCCAGGTATTTCTACGTACTGTGGGTAGAGATACCTGGAAATACCTAGAAATACGTGGAAATACATAGAAATACGGAAATAGAGAAATACGCCTTTCCACTCTAAGATGGTGTTCATTCGATAGAACTCATCGAGCTGTACTCGGAAAGTTCTTCTGTGCAAATTCTCACAGGTTCTCCCGCAAAAATCTAGGAATTGGACCCTGGATTGGCCATTTTGAGGGGTGTGCTGCGTCAGATCCAGCTGGAAAGGTGTGCATTCTATAGAGCTTGTCGAGATCTACTCGAAAAAATGGATGGTTTAGTTGAAAAGTTTTTCTGGTCGAATCAAGACACGTTTTTCGAGAATTGGCTGCATTTCGTAAGGTTTTTTGATGGTATCTGGGGTTTTTTGTCATCTGAGGTTGAGTTCGAGCAGAACGGATATTTTACCTGGATAGAGCTTGTTGAGATGTACTTGGAAAGTTCTTTGGAGCAAATCCTTTCGAGAAATAGTCGAATTTTGATCTAAGATATCCTACGTAATGACAGGTTGAACACAAGGATGTTTTTATTTTAATTGTTTCAATTTTTCAAATTTCATTTGTGGATTTAAACAGGCTGGACACAAACACGTTTCGAACTCTCATGAGTCGTTTTCTGAATATAATCTGGCACGTATGGAATAAATTTATGATAATCCATAACTATATCTGTGTCGTATTCAAACATTTGATGTAATGTTGAAAGATGATTGAGACAATAACGAACTTGATGATCAGCAACTATTTTATTCTTGTCAGGACATAATTTTGAAATATGATCTTGACAAAGAAATTGTTCAATGGAATCTCGAAGTAGGGATTGTGTTTTTTTCTTCGAAGCATTGGAATTAGATAGATAAATTGCCAATTTTTGGCAAAAATCTTCTACAGAACCACGCGGTAGATGCTCCTTCTGATCTTTGACGATGAACTGATATTATCTAACAAGATTCTATTTGGTGACGGACGTGGAGGTATCTGTTATTGAGAATCTCTGAGCTGTTTATTTGCCATTGTTAACTGTCGAACACTTTCACATAGATTCGCATTTTCGTTTTTCAATTTTAGAGCATTTGATCTTCTTCGTTGCAGACCTTCTTTCTTTCATAAATCACTTTTCGTTGTTGTAGGAGTTGACACTGGCGGAAGAGTGACTGTTAGTGTGCTTTGCTGTTGTTGCTTTAAATTATTACGACGTTTTCTTTGTTTCAGAGCTTGTTTTTGTTTACATTCTTTATCAAATGTTTTATCTAATGATCTCTTCATTTTCATTTTTTTATGTCTTCGTTTATCATATTCAACTTGTTTGATCTTCCATGTAGCAGTCATCATATCTGAAATAAAACTCAAGCACGCACACTCATGCACCATAGAACTCCTGAATAAGTCTCTGGAAATGATATAAAAAACTTGATTCAACACACAAGCACATTTTCGTGCTAGAACACCGAACTATCGAAGTTTGTTTAGTTTATTTATCTCTAAATCTTGCTCAGCGTGGTCTCAGGAGTCGAATGATATATAACAAGACTACTTTTGGCCAAAAGTCGCTCGAAAATCAGTGAAAGAAATCTGGAGCTAC